TTCCCAGCTGAGTAGGTTTGGCAAATCAATGGAGTATCAGCAACCTGTTTCCTTGTTTGTATCTGGATAAGATATCACTTCCTTCTCTTACACTAGAATGAAGAAATACTGATGTAATGGTCCCGGAAGTTTGGTTCCAGAGATGTGATCCAGTCATGAGTGGAAACCTGGACACTATTAAGCTCATCTGGGACCCATTGCTCTGAGCTCCTCCCCACTAGGCCTCATCACAGATGTACTCACGTTGAAACTTTGCTACTTGGAGTGCAGGAATCACGAACAAATAGTCTGCTATCATTTCCTTGTACTGTATTTGGAGGGTCTGGGCATCTTCAGTGTTGTTCATATACTCTTCCATTAGCAGGTCACCACACTCAGGAGGTAACATCTACAGCAGGGAACCAGGAAGAATGAGTTTAGGCAGGTTCTTGTTTTGATAGGCAGCAGCCTCAGTGTGGAGAATGTGGCCAGGGATAAGATATGATATAGAGGGAAAGGTATAAGTTCTGGGGTGAGACCTCCACCAACCACACACACACACAGATCTTTGTAGGCATGCTGTCTGAGAAGGATACATAGTGGCTCTTTCTATTGGAGGCAGTACTCAAGGTGACTTACTATGTGTATTGCTGTGTTCTTCAGAATAGCTGGCAGGGTTTCTCTGGTTATGTCCTTTATTATTTGTTCATAGCCCTGGGCCTGGCAGAGAGAGGACAGTTTTCTATAGTATAAGGTGGGATAGATATGGACCAAGTTTCCTCTGCTCACCTTATGAGTCCCCAGACTTCCAGAATATTGGAACCGAGCCTCACCACAGGGAGAAGCCAGCCATACTCATCATTGTTGACACCAATGATGCTGGGGACAGGGCGAAAATCCACAGCAGCCAACAACTCTTGGGGATGCCTGGGTAGGAATACCCCATCTACCACAGCAGGGATAGACTGGAAGACCTGAGGGACATGCAAGAGATATGGAGGTCAATTCTGATGTCCACTGAGAAACCCAAACCATTACCCCTGCCCCCATTTAATTGTTTCAGGATGTTTTTCCAACCCTGACAGAATCTACATATATGAGGATATTTGGTATTCATTTTAATCATTTTACATACATGATTAAGAGGATGCCAAACCATGGAGTAGAAGTAAATTGTTTAGAGTAGTAAGGAATGACTCTCCCACGTCCCACTGACCAGGTCCTCCAAGTCACACAACTCTCCCAACCTTGGTAATAGCCAGCATCTCCTCTTCAGTCTTGCTTCTCAAACAGTGCACCAGGGCCCCTGAGTCTGTAGTCTCACAACCAGATAAGTTGGCCACTTTCTGTAAAGGGATCAGGCAGGAATTGATCCATCCTTTCAGGCAAGTATAGTAGTTTTCCCAATCCCAGTTGATTGGCATTGTGCCCAAATATCACATTGCACTTTGTTTGGTAAAATAAAGTAAGAAATTCCCATTTTGTGTTGCTCAGATGTGACAGCCAGAGAGGTCATTCTACCTAAAGAGTTTTAAAAATAAACTTCATGTGTTTGTTCATGACTGCATGTGACTTCAGGAATGCCTATACCATGGTTTCCATGCAAAGATTAGAGGACAACATCTGTTTGCTACTTCTCACTTCCCATCTTGTTTGAGAAATGATCTTTCATTATTCCTTCCTTTCTACAAGGGTCCATCTTATTTGTGACCTTTCAGGGATTTTCTGTTCTCTGGTTCCTATCTCATCCTATGAATACCAGGATCACACACTTCTTGCTGCATGCAGCTTTTTGTGATTTCTGAGAAATTTGAACTCAGGTCCTTATGTTTTTACCTATTGATCCATATCTTCAACCCATATGTATTTGTTTCTGAACATGATGGACACTACAAGGTACTTATACATGGTTATTACACCCAGCCTGTATAGAGAGAAATGGATTCTAACCCTTGATTCTCTCAGAGACTATTGAAAGAAGCTATTTCCCATGCTCCTTGTTTTCCCACTTGAGAAAGCTCCCAGAGTACCAGAGGGTGGAGGCTGAGGCTGCAGGGTCATCAATGGCTGAAGTGACTCACTGTGTAGACCACCTCAGAGGTGTTAGAGATCAGGTAAGGCAGCAGGGCCACTCCACTCTCCATGATGGCTCTGTGGAAGAGTCCTTTGGACATGGGGGACAAAACCTGTGAAGACACACTTGTGCCACCTGCTGACTCTCCAAAGATGGTGACAAGGTCAGGGTTGCCTCCAAAGTGGGCGATGTTCTGCTGGACCCAGCTCAGAGCGGCCACTTGGTCCAGGTAGCCCCAGTTCCCTCTGGCGTGCTGGTCTCCAGTGCTGTGAAGATGCAGAGAAGGAATCACAGGGCTGTCTTATTTCCTTTCATCCCCTACTGCACAGTGCAGGCTAGCCCCAGACTCACCTGAAGAAGCCCAGAACACCCAGGCGGTACTGGATAGTGACCACCACCACATCCTCCTTGGCTGCCAGCATGGATCCATCAAAAATGGAAGCCAGACCCCTAGACAGTCCACCGCCATGGATCCATACCATCACCTGTGGAAATCAATTCAGATGTCAGGATGTTGCCACCCAGCTCAAGCTCCACCTGGGGTGTCTTCTACTGTACCTAATGCTTTGGCTCAGTGTACTTAGACACACAGAGATAACTCCTCAGTACATCCTCACTTGGACCACAGACAGGGCTCTAGTACCATCAGGATACTTGCTAGTCTCTCTCCTTCTCTAAGGACCAAAGCCTTAATTAGTGGCTCTAAATCTAGGGTAATAACATCCCCTTCTTTCAGATGCCTATGAAATGGCATGAAAAAGGGTATATTCATCAGTGATTCTCCTGATTATTAACAAAATATCATGGGCACATAGCTGGTCATGGTGATGTATATCTTTAATACCAGAGCTCTGGGACTAGGTAGGCTGCCTGTGGACCTTCCCCACTCTCTGTTCCCCCAGACCTAATTCTCAGGGTCACCCCTAGCACTGCAAGAGACCATCTCCCCCCAGCATTCCCAGTGAACACACCAGCTGAGCAGGCAGAAGACTTTCTAAAAATCCAGAGAGGAAACAGAAATTAAGTATCAAAACACCCACCAAACAAAGAGAAACCCAGAAACCAACACCTAGACCTAGAACCACCCGAAACCCAGATACCTAGATGCCAGCATAAGAACACAATTAACAACAGCCTGGTCAGTGTGTCTCCAACAGAGCCCAGCTATCCTACCACAGCAGGTTCTAAATATTCCAACACAGCTGAAAAAAAACCTTAATATGAAGATGAAAGAGGTCCTTAAAGATCAAATTAATAAAACCCTTAAAGAAAGTGAAGAAAATAAAAAGAATTGAAGGAGGTCCAGGTCTGAAAAAGCATGGGATACAACCCGATATGCTGAACATAGCGGACAATGAGAACTGCTGAGAAGTCAAGAACAATGGCAATGGGTTTTTGATCCTACTGCACATACTGGCTTTGTGGGAGCCTAGGCAGTTTCATGGATGCTCACCTTACTAGACCTGGACGGAGGTGGGTGGTCCTTGGACTCCCCACAGGGCAGGGAACCCTGATTGCTCTTTGAGCTGACGAGGGAGGGGGACTTGATTGGGGTAGGGGGAGGGAAATGGGATGCGGTGGCGGGGAGGAGGCAGAAATCTTTAATAAATAAATAAATTAAAAAAAGAATTGAAGGAAACAAATAAAATTGTTTAATATCTGAAAATGGATATAGAAACAATAAAGAAAACATAAACTAAGGGAATCCTGGAAATGGAAAGTTTAGGAATGTGAGCAGGAACTACAGAGTCAAACTTCACCAACAGAATACAAGAGATGGAAGAGAGAATCTCAGACTTTGAAGTTACGATAGAAGAAATGGGTACATTGGCCAAAGAAAATGTTAAATCTTAAAAATTCCTGACATAAAACATTCAAGAAATTTGGGACACTATGAAAAGAACAAATGTATGAACAACAGGAATAGAGGGAGGAAAAGAATACCAAATAGTTCAAAAGCCTAGAAAATATCTTCAACTAAACCATGGAAAAAAATTTTCCTAAATTAAAGAAGGAAATGCCTATATAGTTACAAGAAACACACAGAACACCAAATAGATTGGATAAGAAAAGTCCCCTCAGCACATAATAATCAAAACACTACAGTACAAAGAAAGAGTATTAAAAACTTCAAGGGAGAAGACCAACTAACATATAAGGCAGACCTATTAGACTTACGCCTGACTTCTCAATGGAGACTCTAAAATACAGGAGCTCTTAGACAGATGTGCTAGAGATTCTAAGAGACCACAGGTGCCAGCCAAGATTACTATACCCAGCAAAACTTTCAATCACCTTAAGACATTCCATTATAAAATTAAATTTACAATATCTAGATACAAATTAGCCCTACAGAAGGAACTAGAAGGAAAACTCTAAACCAAGGTTAATTACACACATGGAAACATAGGAAATAAATAACCTCACATCGGCAAAACCAAAAGAATGGAAGCACAAACACACTACCACCACCACCACCAACAACAACAACAGCAAAATAACAGGAATTAACAATCATTGACCACTAATATCTCTCAATATCATTGACTCCATTCTCTGATAAAAAGACGCAGATTAACAGATGGTTTCAAACACAGGATCAATCCTTCTGCTGCATACAATCGTACACCTCAAAACCAGGGGTAGACATTAGTTCAGGGCAAAGGGTTGGAAAAAGATATTCTAAGCAAACAAACCCAAGAAGCAATCTGGTGTAGGAATTTTAATATCTAATAAAATTAACCAAAAGAATTGTGGAAGTAGTTCCAGGACAGGAACCAAAAAAGCTATGGAGAAACTCTGTATCGAAAATAAAAAAAAAATAAAAAATAAAAAAAAAAGAATTGTGGAAGGATACGACATATTCATCACAAGAAAAATTACACCAAGATGACATTTTAATTCTTAACATTGATCCCAAACACAAGGGCATCCATTTTTGTAAAAGAAACACTTTTAGACCTTAAATCACATCTTTACTATCACACACTGATAGTACCCCATTCTCACCAATGGACAGGCCATCCAGACAGAAACTAAACAGAGAAATACTAGAGCTAACTTACTTTATTAGAGAAATTAATCTAATAGTTATTTACAAAACATTTCACCCAAACACAAAAGAATCTACCTTCTTCTAAGCACCTCACAGTTTTTTTTCACTTTATCAGAGAAATTAATCTAACAGTTATTTACAAAACATTTCACCCAAACACAAAAGAATCTACCTTCTTCTAAGCACCTCACAGTTTTTTTTCACTTTATCAGAGAAATTAATCTAACAGTTATTTACAAAACATTTCACCCAAACACAAAAGAATCTACCTTCTTCTAAGCACCTCACAGTTTTTTTTTTTTCAAAACTGACCACACATTTGGTCACAAAGTAACTCACACCAGATACAGAAAAATTGAGGCAATTCCTTGCATCTGATCAGACAACTGCAAGCTAAAGCAGGACATCAACAGGAACAGAAACAACAGAAAGCTCACACACTCACGGAAATTGAGCAACTTTTTACTGAATAAAAAATGGGTCAAGACAGAAATAAGGAAAAAACGGAAGACTTTCTAGAATTCAATGACAATGAATACCCAGCACACCCAAGCTTATGGGACACAATGAAGATGGTGCCAAAAGGAAAGTTCACAGCATTAAGTGCCCACATTAAAAAAACTGGAGAGAGCTCATACTAGCAACTTAACAGCACACCTAAAAGTTCTAGAAAAAAAGAATTAAGCACCCCTAAGAGGAAAAGAAAGCAGGAGATAATTAATCTGCAGAAATCAATAAAATACAAACAAAGAGAACAGTACAAAGAATCAATAAAACAAAGAGTTTCTTTTTGAGAAAATCAACAAAATAGATAAACCCTTATCTAAACTAACTAAAAGACAGAGACAATATCCAAATTAATAAAATCAAAATAACCAAATCAATAAAAGTGAAAAGGAGGCCATAACAACAGACACCAAGGAAATCCTGAAACTCATAAGGACATGCTTTCAAAACCTGTACTCCACCATTTAGAAAATCTAAAATAAATGGATAATTTTCTCAATAGGTATCACTTACCAAAGTTAAATCATGAACAATTTAAATATACCTATAACCCCCAGTAAAATAGAAATAGTCATTAAAAGTTTCCCAACTAAAAAAAGATTCTAGGGCCAGATTTTTTTTATAGGATTGTACCAGACTTTTATAGAAGACTTAATATATGAGAGAGGATCTATTTTCAATTAAAAAAATTACCATACCTTTGGAGGCAGAGATCAAAGACCTCTGTGAGTTTGAAGCCAGCCCTGTCTTCATAGTGAGTTCTAGGCCAGCCAGGGTTATATAGAGAGACCATTTCTCAAAACAAGAAAAAAATCCTAGGCACAATGAATAGCCCATTTCAGTAAATTTGCAAGAGCTCAGGATTTAGCTCTCAGGTCTCTGGTAGGTAGTGTGAAACCTGAGTTGATCAAGGAGCCAGAGCCACTGACTTCCCAGGGTCTTTAGGTCTCTGTGTCCCATACCTATGGTTTAGTTGCAAGCCATGGCAGAGAAGGCCTTCCTTGATACCTGACAGGGAAGGCTTCTCATGAGGGTCTCACATTGATTTTGCCCCTTTTAGTCATCCTGAAAAAATGCCCACCCCCAGATCTGAATATGGGTTGCCACTCACAGTCAGGTTAGAGCCCTCATGGGCATGAGCTGGTGTGTAGATGTTGAGATACAGGCAGTCCTCAGACATTGAGATGGAAGGTACGCTCCGTTTTATCATTGCCAGACTTTCTGAATTCACTGCATCAGGATTTTGTAGACACCTGGGGACAATGACAGTTCTTCTAAGAGATGTACAGTAGTTAAAAACAGACTCTTAGTTCATATTTGCTCTCAGCCACCAAAACCCCTCTTTCTGGCCCCATGATGCCCTGATAACATGAGATCCTACTCCAAAATCTCTGCCAACTAAGGTAAAGGTCAGAGACTTTGGGAAAACCGGTATGGAGCTCAAACTTCTCGTGAGGCTGCCAGAAGGGTCTTTGGATCCCAGTCTTCCTGATGATGGGATATTGATGAACTTCTGTGAAAACTATTGGTGTGTGTAATGACACCATTTCTTTTTGTACTCTCCAAGGTCTGGGTATTGGGTCCTGTACCCGTATAGGTGCTGCATTGATAAACAGGGTGGTGGGACATCCTTCACCTCACATCCAGACTCTCAAGGAACTGCCTCTTGGCCAATGGTA